CCCGCCCCCGCCACCATCCCAGGCCCCAAGACGACTTTCCACATCAAGCAGATGTTCACCTGCACATCTGATAATGTGGTATACTGCATCCGCTGTTCCCGTTGTGGCCTCCTCTACATCGGGGAAACCAAGCGGAGGTTTGGGGACCGCTTTGCAGAACACCTACACTCGGTTCGCAATAAACAACTGCACCTCCCAGTCGCGAAACATTTCAACTCCCCCTCCCATTCCTCAGACAACATGTCCATCCTGGGCCTCCTGCAGTGCCACAACGATGCCACCCAAAGGTTGCAGGAACAGGAACTCCTATTCCGCTTGGGAACCCTGCAGCTCAATGGTATCAATGTGGATTTCACAAGCTTCAAAATCTCCCCTCCCCCTACCGCATCCCAAAACCAGCCCAGCTCGTCCCTGCCTCCCTAACCTGTCCTTCCTCCCACCTCTAGCCCCACTCCCATCTCCTACCTACCAACCTCATCCCGCCCCCTTGACCTGTCCGTCCTCCCTGGACTGACCTATCTCCTCCCTACCTCCCCACCTATACTCACCTTTACTGGCTCCATCCCTGCCTCTCTGACCGGTCTGTCTCCTCTCCACCTATCTTCTCCTCTATCCATCTTCTATCTGCCTCCCCCCTCTCCCTATTTATTGCAGAACCCCCTTCCCCTCCCCCATTTCTGAAGGAGGGTCTAGGCCCGAAACGTCAGCCTGCTCCTATGATGCTGCTTGGCCTGCTGTGTTCATCCAGCTCTACGCCTTGTGGTCTCAGATTCTCCAGCGTCTGCAGTTCCTACTATCTCTGATATAATTTCAAAAAACTTCATCAGTAACCAGAGTCATCTGCTGCACTACCTTTCCAGATAAACAAAACTTCTGTTATATCATCCCTGCAAACCTTTTCTACATCTTTTCCATAATAAGGAAACCTGAACCGAACACACAACACCATGCAGTTTTAACATGGTTCTACGTAATTTCAATATATATTCACTGCTTTTCTGTTCTACTCTTCTGGAAATAGCTTCTTTTTATCATATGGAATTATTAATCTCATTCTTACTTGCCAAGTTAAGTTTCCTGATGTTTTGTATCTAAACCCAAACTCAGTACTGTTCAAGATTTGAATTCTAACTTTCGTGATATAAAAGGCCCACATCCTATCAGCCTTTTGGTTACTTTTTCTATATTTGCTTCCAATTTTTAAAAAAACAGCAAAGTTAACACTTAATGCCCATTCCTCGTTACCTTGGAGGGATAGTGGTATCCTGCTTCTTGAACCACTGTGGTCCATGTCATGGAGGACCACCCACAGTGCTGCTTGATTGGAGATTGAGGATTTTAATCCAGCAACAAAAAAGGAATAGCAATAAGCGTTCAACCCTGAGTTAGTGTGTGAGATGTTGTCGAAGAAGTTTTGCTGAGTTATGACAGCATATAGATGATAGATGCTTCACTCAGAAACAGAAGACAGGAAAAAGCCATTTGACCGGTCGAATCTGCTCAACTATTCAAGGTGTTCATGGCTGACCATTGAGCTCAATACCCTAACGGTATATGCAGCATCCTCCCCCGTATCCCTTGATCCCTTTAGTCACTAGAGCTTTATCCACCACCTTCTTGAAGGCATAATGTTTTGGCCTTAACCACTTTCTATGGCAGTGAATTTCACAGATTCATTACTTAGTAAAGAAATTTCTCCTGATCTCAGACCTAAAAGCTTTACAGCTTATCCTTAAACTATGACCCTTGGTCTGGACTCCGCCATCATCAGCAACATCCTTCTGCATCTAACTTGCCTAATTCTGTTAGAATTTGAGGTTTCTACAAGATCCTCCCCCATTTCTTCTAATTACCAGTGAATAAAATCCTAACTGACTCAACTCTCTTTTTATGTGAGTCCTGTCATCCCAGGAATCAATGTGGCAAACCTTCGCTGCACTCCCCCAGCAGCATGAGCATCCTTCCTCAGAAAAGGAAAATGAAACTGCACACAATACTCCAGATGTGGCCTCATGAATGGCCTGCATAATTGCAGCAAGACATCCTTGTTCCTATACTCAAATCCTCTAGCTATGAAGGCTAACATAATTTCCTTATTTACTGCTTGTTGTACCCACTCGCTTACTTTCAGCGACTAGTGCACGAGGACACACAAATCTCGTTGAACATTCATTCCCCCCCAACTCAATTTACCGTCAAATAATAATCAGCCTTCCTATTTCTGCTACAGAAGTGGAAACCTCACATTTATCCACATTATACTGCATCTGCCATGCACTGCCCACTCACTCAGCCTGTTCAAATCACACTGCAACATCTCTGCACCTTCCTCACAGCTCACCCTCCAATCCAGCTTTATGTGCAAATGTTGAAATATTACATTTAGTTCCCTTATCTAAATCATTAACGTATAGTGTGAACAGCTGGGGTACTTGATCTTGATAACAGACTCTATTATCTTCCCCACTACCGACGTCAGACTCACTGATCTACAATTCCGTTTCTCTCTACCTCTTTATAAATAGTGGGGTTACATTAGCTAGCCTCCAATATGTACAAACTGTTCCAGAGTCTGAAGAATCTTCAAAGATGATCACCAATGCAGTAATTATTTTGAGGGCCACTTTCTTAAGTACTCTAAGATGTATAAGGCAAGGCCCAGGGGATGTATCAGCATCAATCCCATCAATTCCTCCAATACCATTTCGCTACTCATGCAGATCTGCTTCAGCTCTTCCCTCTCACTAAACCATGTTCCCCATCATCTCTCGTACGCTATTTGTGTCTCTCTGTGAAACCAGCAGCAAAGTCCAAATTTAGTTCGCCAGCCATTTCTTTGTAAATTTCTCAGTTTCTGACTGCAATTAGTTTTCTACATGCTGTCATCAGTTTTTACTGGTCTTTTTCTCTTTACATACCAATAGAAACTTTTACTGTCAGTTCTTATGCCCACAAGTTTACTCTCAAACCCTTTCCCACTCCCCCTCCCCCACCCCTTTTTCTAATCAATCCCTTGGGCCTCCTTTGCTGCATTTTAAACTGTTCCCAATCTTTCAGTCGATTATTTTTTCTTTGCAATTTGTATGTTTCTAAGGTTTTGGAGTAGATTTGCAGCTCAGGTTGTGGTTATTGAGGTTGGTTGGCTCGCCGAGCTGGTTTGTTGTTCCGCAGACGTTTCATTACCCTGCAGGGTTATGTCATCAGTGCAGCTTCCCATGAAGCATCGGTGTGTTTTCCTGCCTGGTTTTTATTGATGGTTTTTATTCCCCGCTTGTGTGTTTATTGTTGGCTTTCTTCGTGGAGTACAAGCCCACATCAACCCTACAACAACTGCTCACCCAAACTAAAGACCCACTCTCCGCCATGGACAGGACCAATGTCATCTACAAGATCCCCTGCAGAGACTGTGAGAAACACTACATCGGACAAACAGGAAGGAAACTAACAACAAGGGTACACGAACACC